TCCATGGAAAATGGTATATCAATGATTTTGAAATGGTGAAGGTTTTTTTAAGAAGCACCAAAAATCAAATGTTTTTTTGTTGAATAATTCAAGAGTATTTTGATAAAAATAACTTAAAAAAGAAGGAAAAAAAGTTTTTATAAAAAGCATGAGAGAAAAAGCTGTTATATTCCAAAGAGAAGAAAAAAGCAAGGAAAATTGCATGAAAATCATCAACAGTGCCATATAAAATAGGTATAAGTATGTTTATAATATGTTTAGTTTTAAATTCATTTCTTTTGTTATTTGAATTATATTGTATGTCTTTCTCTTTGTTTTGTTAATTAGGATGAACTGTATAATTTTTTGGTTTTTTGTTTATTATATGTGTTGGTAAATAATATTTATTTCTTGTTACTACTTTTCCTATACTTTTTATGAGTTATTTACTTTTGGATAAATGGTCCGCCCTTCTTTTGGTAATCCGATGCACTGAAACCCAAGTGTCACTTGAAATTTGATTCTCTCTAGTCTCTGTATACGAAACAATTACAACAAAAAGTTTCAAAAACAATTGTTTGTTGTATAAGTAAAAACTATTTTGCTAATCATAAAAGAAAAGGTAGAATATATTTGGGACAATTACAAATTTTTTATTTTTGGTGTGTCTATTTTTAAAAATATTATTATGGACTGTTTATTTTAAAAAATGCCACTAATTAAAGATTTTTAAATTTTAAATTTTGAAAATTCAAAACTTTAAAAAAGTTTTGACCCCTAACAAACTATAAACCCTCACAACTAAACACTAATACAACATATTTAACTCAAACATAAATGATATATACAATAATTAATTTTGAAAAAATGACATTTTTAAAAGATTTTGAAAACGTGGCATTTTTGAAAAGTGACATTTCAAAAGTGGCATTTCTAAAAATTTCTCAATATACTTAGTCATAAAATTTTCTAATAAATTTAGAGAGGTGTATTCTTTTTTTTTTTTTTGTCAACAACAAACTTCATTAAACTCAGAATTCGGTTACAAAGGCATGCCATGCCAAGATGAAACTAAAGCGGATAAACTCAAATCTTGTGGAAAAAGATGACAAATCATGGAGTAAACCATGGTGTTTGGAAACTATCGAGCCAAAATATATGACTCGAGCCAATTGTAAGGATTCGGATTTTACCGAGAAAGTCCTTTTACCTTCTTTAAAAGCACCACGGGCTTTAGATCGAGTCACCGAGAAAACTAAGTTCCTGGATTTACACTCACCTCCTAGATACCAAAATATGGCACTAGTGACACAATATGATAGATTAAGCCTTAGGAGAAGGTCCACTAAGTAAAAAAAGCAACTATGGACCAGACCCTCTAAACAAAGATCCCAAACCAAATCCACTAAGTAATTTTCTTCATTTCGGCCCAACAATACAAATGAGATGAAAGCCCCACCTACATATCGGAAGAGGAGCAATCCGGTCATCGGAATGTTCAGTCGGCTCTGGGACCACCGCCACTCGATTGGGTGTCTCGGGTTTAAGTCCTGCTTGGGCTTCGAGGGATACTGGCTCAAAAGTCCAGCGTCGGTAGGGGGAGGATATAGAGCGCGGAGGAGGAGCTTTGTCGTCGGTGAGTCCGGAGATCCTGAGGACCACCGCCACGAAAGGTGTGACGGATTTAAGTCCGAATGACGGAGGAGGAGCTTTGTCGTCGGTGAGCCCGGAGAACATGAGGACCAATGCCACGAAAGATGTGACGGATTTAAGTCCGAGTGAAGCTCAGTTGCCGAGATGATAAAGCAAGAGATCTCACCATGAGATCTCGGCCAAGGATGAAGGGTTGAGGGTAGAACCCGTCGATAGTGGTGATGAGCAGCGAGGTCGCGGTGGTGGTGAAGCTTTGAGGTAGAGCTCGGAGAGGCCGAGACTAATTCCGATGGATTCGGCGGTTTTGGTGGAGGCAGGCTCGGAAAGCCTAGCGACGTCAACATGCAGGAGAGATCCACCGTCATCGGTAAGTTCGGAGCTTCCGATCCAGAGGCTCCAGCCGTAGAGAGCTTATACATCACCGGATCTGAGGGTACGCGATTTGCCATGGCTGGGATCGAAAGCCGACCAAAGCCATCACGCGGTTTCCTTGTTTCACTGGAGACATCCAAGCGGCGGAGAGACAATAGCACGGTGGACTTCGTAGAAGAGGACATRCTCAAAGGTRAGATGCYGGCRRCGGAGATCAAACGTCGGYGGTGAAGATCCATTCCCGAGAGAGAGGGAGCAGCGTCGGTTGGTCGGAAGTGGATCGCCGGTGGGAGGAAATCATCTTGGACTCGGTTTGCAGCTAGA